ATGGCGGTTTCCAGCTGCACGTTCGGCGAGATCTTGTCCCTTGCTATTCATGAGGATCTGCCACTTATTCCACCATTCATCACAGCTGATAGACGCTCCGGTGATGAAGTATGGATAGGATTATATAACATTTAGGCCGGTATTTTGACCTGACACATATACGAGCCGGTTAGAGCTCCTGTGAACTTGTCCCCTAGCGCGCCATGTATGTAAAAGTAAATGCGTGTCCTGTGAACAACCGACCTCGTAGTCCGGCCGTTTTTCTCTCTCTTTAACCGATTCTCTTGGCTCTTCTTATTCTTTGCTTTATCTACCTGCTGTTTTATTTTATTTTTTCGTTCGTTAGCTCTGTCCGCCATCACCTACCTCTTTTTCCATTCTTCTCTCTCCTTCCCTCCTTCTCTTCTGTTCTTCCTTCTTCCTTGTATCCTTCTCCCTCTTTCTTATCAACATTATTCCTATTTCCCCTCTTTCCTTTTTCCCCCCTTCCCCTTCCCTCCATCCTTTCCTCTCCTTCTTTCCCCTTTCCCGTCCTCCCCCCCACCCCACCCACCCCACCCCACCCCTTCTTCAGACAACCCCTGACATTAAGAATCATGCAATAAAAAAAATAATAATGTATCATGAATGCCATATTTGGTCATGAATACTGTGCGCCTTCTTGCATAAATCCCAAGTTGCAGATGTTTGCTCAATTGCAGTATTGACAATCTGCAACCGCTTTGTCAATTTAAATTCCTTTCACGTCGATTCCAAGAAAGAAATATCGGCCTGCATGCAAGCACACTTTCGAGAACAAGGTCATAGACATACGGACAGACAGACAGACACGTAAAGATAGAGAGAGATAGAGATAAGAATGTAATAGAGACAGACAGACAGACACGTAAAGATAGAGAGAGATAGAGATAAGAATGTATAGAGACAGACAGACAAATACGTAAAGATAGAGATAAGAATATAGAGACAGACAGACAGACACGTAAAGATAGAGAGGATAGAGATAAGAACCGTATACAGACAGATAGACGGACCACGTAAAGACAGAGGTAGGAATAGAGATAAGAATAATAGGAGACAGACACGCAAAGATAGAGAGAGATAAGAAGATAGAGACAGAAATGTATAGAACAGAACAGACAGATACGTAAAGATAGAAGGATAAAAAAGAGATAGAATATAGAGATGATAGACCCAGGGACAAAAGATAGACGATAGAGAAGATGTATACAGACAGATAAAACACGAGACAGAGAGTAGAGATAAGAATATAGAGACAGACAGACAGACACTTAAAGACAGAAGGAGATAGAGATAAGAATGTATAGAGACAGACAGACACGTAAGACAGAGAGAGGTAAAGATAAGAATGTATAGAGACAGACAGACAGACAGACACGTAAAGACAGAGAGAGATAGTGATAAGAATGTATAGAGATAAAGAACACGCCAACTGTAGATAAGCGGGTATTTAGCTTATCTTTTTCATTTCCTTCAAATTCTTATTCTTTGTCGTCATATTGCTTGTTCCCGTTTGCCTTGTTTGCTTGCCGAGTTGCATCACCGCTATGACTCACCGCACTGTCTTAAGTATAGGATTCCCTCCCACACAGGTCATAGACTCATCGTATATCTAGCCTTGCCAGCAATTCGACACATCGTTCAGCATAGCTTATATAAATCACTTAAAGCATATATACTACAACCAGTACACTATAGATCTATACCACCACCTATAACTACAACCTATAATACATATATATTAGCATAATATACTCCCTATCACTATACCTAAGCTATAATCATTCCAACACCTCGCATGTCCTGTATATACCTAAACAGTCAGCTATATCAAGTTAATACCAGCACCATCTATATAACACCTACCTATATCTACTAACATCCAAGCTATAACCACCTACGATCACCTATATAATAAACTATATATAGACTGTATGTGTATGATTATATCTATGTGTGTTTATATCTATGTGCATATATATGTTATATATATGTGTATATATATATCCATAGCTCTTAACTATTATATATATATATATATATATATATAATTTATTGCGTGCGGTGAGGTGGCGTTCGACCAAAACCCGTTTCTCCCGGGCAACCACAAAGAGGTTAAACACTAAACTTACAGCACCAATCACCATTCCCCGATATCAACTGCGCACACCGCGTGCACTTATTCCAAGCATCATTATACCATTACACCAACAGTAATAATAATATAACTATATAATATATATATATATATATAAAATTAACCATTACTACCATTTGCCTAATATAACAATCTAATACTATATATATAAACATATAAAACGTATCATATTATATGTATATATCAGCAATCACATTTATTACCTATATTATATATCATAAAACTAACCTTATACTATTAGTCTATACTAGCACTTATACTACACCTCCAACACAAACATCCACCACAGACATCATATCGCACCACAGCAAACCAATCTAACAGCACCATTAAACCTACCACCTTAGCACATGCCTAACCACAGCCACATTACCATCAGCACCACACCTCACCGACCGACCCAACACACCACTATCTCTAAACTACACTCACCAGCACCATCAACGAGAAGAGACCACCAGCACACCACGCACCGCCACCCTACGACCTGCACACCACACAAACACTTCCAACCACCACAAACCACTCCAACCACCAGCACCACCGTCCACTTTTTTTTTCTTTTTTTTTTTTTTATTCTTTTTTTTTAGACCATCATCAACATCTATTCCACCATAATTTAGCATTTTCATTACCTTCTTTTTTTTTTTTTTTTTTTTTTTTTTTTTTTTTTTTTTTTTTTTTTCTTTTTTTTTTTTTTAACTTCTTTTTTTTTATCTTTGTGCCTTTTTTTATCTTTTTTTTCCTTTTTTTATTTTTTTTTTTTTTTTTTTTTTTTTTTTTTTTTTTGTTTTTTTTTTTTTTTTTTTTTTTTTTTTTTTTTTTTTTTTTTTTTTACCTATTTTGTTATTCTTTTTTTTTTATCTTTTGTTTTTATTTCTCTTTTTTTTTTTTCTTACTCTTTTTTTTTTTTTTTTTTTTTTTTTTTTTTTTTTTTTTTTTTATTTTTTTTTTTTTTTTTTTTTTTCTTTTCTTATTTTTTCTTTATTTCTTACCATTTTTTTTTTTTTTCTTTCTTTTTTTTCAAGGTGACACCTTTTTTACACCGACCTTTAGCATCACCGCCACCTAGCCACCAGTCCATTACACCTCTAGCCACCAGCACCCAGCCTGCAGCCACCGTTTACCTCACCTTGCCTTCCACCATCCAGCATACTATCACCACCAGCAGCACTCACTTTTGTTTGCCTCCACCCCTTAGTCACCAAGTCACGATACCATCTCTTATCACCCTCTTCGCCCATACCACCTCAAACACCACACACCAACGACCACTCCACCACAGCGCACCATTACACCACTGCAACCACCATCACCACCACCAGCATTACCACCATTGCACCGCCAGCACCATTACCGACCACCTCCACCATCACACCATATACCACTTTACCTGACCAGCATCACCACACACCAGCAAACCCACCACATACTAACCAGCAGCAAGCAAGCACACCAGCACCGCCACCACAAGAACCACTTCCACACCACCACCTCCACCAACCACATCAACACACACCATCAGCTATCATTACAACTGCCACCGACCAAGTACCGATCACCACCACTCCACCACAGCCCAATTACCGACACCCTGCACCTTACGCCATGTATATCATATAAACATATATATCATATAAACATATATATAATATATATATATATATATATATATATATATATATATAAACATATACATAACCTACTTATATATCATATAATTATACTATATAATCATAACATAACTCAAGATACCACATGTATGTATATCATAATACACACATTTAAACCTGATATGTATATCTTAACTATATATATTATACCAGTACCATCACATCACTATAATATATATAGTCATAACCTGTACATATATACAAGTTCAAATATCATACCGGCCTATATAACTACAAAGATCATTAATACTATATACATATATAATTCTATACCAGATCTACATACGATAACATATAACAACACACACACAAACCCAAACCCATGCCACAACAACGCGTGTGAACTCAATAGCATAACTATATATACATTACTAATCATACTATATATATATATATACATATATACTATATATAAACGTTATATATATATATGTCATATCTATACCACTGTATACATATATATAATGTATATATATAATATACATCACACACAGCACGCAAACACACACCGAGCGCACCAACCACCACACACACTCACAACACCACACACACACGACACACAACACACACACTACACATATCATATAAATATATATATATACAATATATAGCTATATATATAAAACCACCGTATCACTACAATGCACTATATATATATATATATCCACAAACATATATGCCCATATAACACTATGTATCACGCTATCAACATATATACTGACACACAGTATGTTTACATATATATAGCTAAATTATATATATATATATATATCATATATATACTATATTATACATAATATATACACTAATATCGACTAAACTAACACTACACCAGTATAACATACCACACTATCACATAATATACCTATGAACCTAGTACACCGCCACATACCACCCAACCGTCTACACTTACACCATCACACACCACACATCTACACCACACACACACACACACACAACACACACACAACCACACACACACACTGGCCACACACAGCACTAAACACACACAACACACAACACCACATAACCTGAAAGCCAACAATGCACAGAATAAAATGCTAAAATACATTTTTCGATAAAAGAAACGCGATCAGTTTCACTTACTCTCGTTTCGCTGAACAAATGAAGTTGCTCTCATTTGCATA